TTCTCTGTCTCTTCACCTCTGCTCAGAGCTCACACTACACCTTTATCTTCCCAGGACACAGGCTGCCCCTGGCAATAAACAACTTGCGCAATTGCTCCTTCTCCCACTGGGGACCCGCTGCCAAAAGCTCAGTGCCAGGTGTCAGTGCCACAGTGGGCTTATCAGTCAGTTCTTGGAAAAGGGGATTCCTCATTCCCCCTGAACACACACCTGAGGGGCAGTCAGCACGGGACGGATTCCTTCATGCTTTCAGGCTGTGCTCCATCATGTCCAGAGCTGAGTTACAAAGGATTTATGTCAGGGATGGTCACAGTGCCATTCTGGTCTGCCACTGAGCAAGTCAGGGCTAGTGGTGAGACCAGGGTGATCTCCACCCAGCCATTCGCTGACACACTGGTCTGCTGCTTACACCTTTCACTAATGGGTGGGCAACAGAGTTCTGGAAAATACATGGCTAGGCAAATCCAGAAGCACCATCTCTACTCCCATTGTACTTTGCCCCCAAAATATCAAGTGCCAGGTGAAAAAGCCACCCTGTTATCTGATGGTCTCTGGGGCTCCAGAACTGGAATGTCCAAGAGAAGTAAAAGCTCACAGGGTCTTCATAAGTGAAAAAGAGCAATCAGTCTTGTGAATTTCAGTCTGTGTTGGTGTGTCTGTCTCTGTCTTTGTGTCTCTGTCTCTATCTCTCTGTCTCTCTGTCTCTCTGTCTCTCTGTCTCTCTCTCTCTCTCTCTTGCTCTCCCAGTTCAGAAAGGAGCTAAATGTTGGGTGGCGAAGCAGCAGCTCCTACTGAAGAGAACTGTGGTGACAGTCACAGCTGGCCCACACCAAAGTGAACACAACATGAAGGAGTTACCTGCAGTTGGAGCAGCACTGACTAGGAGCTAAGAAGACCTACCCTGAGACCCCAGCTTCACTGCCTTCTCTAAGTCCTCGCACGAGTCATCACATCTGTCGGACCTGAACTACCTCTTCTGAAGACGGGGTGGGGAGGAGATGAGGTAAAGAACTCAATGAACTTCAAGCATTTGAATTCTAAGAATCTCTTCTGCAAGTTCAGCAGCCAGATTAGTCTTAGGATGGCCTCAATGAGAAAACGTGAAAACTACAGCAGGATATGGGAACATCAGCTACTAGCTAGTTCTATTGGTCCCAAAATGGCACTTGGTTTGTTTAGTAAGACTTTTGGTGGAGATAAAAAAAAAGCTAGTAAAGAGTCTTTCCAATCCTCAAAGGAATTTAGCTTTGGAAGGGAAGAAACTGGCACTGTGGCTGGCCAGCTATGTACCAATGTGGTGTGTTCACCTCCTGACTCCTCTGATGCCTCTGGCCTATTGTAGTGAGTTGAACAGTGGCTCCAAGAAGAGATGCCTGTGTCCTAAACCTTGGAACCCATGAATATGACCTTATTCAGAAAAAAAGATTTTTACAGATGTAATTAAGTTAAAAATATAATGATTAGATCATCTTCAATTTAAGGAGGGCCCCAAATCCAATGATAGGCATCCCCTTAAGAGAAAAATACAGGAAATTTTAGAATACACATTGAAGAAGGTTACATGAAGGTAGAGGCAGAGAGTGGAGGGATACATCCCCAAGGATTGTTGACTGGAAACTGTGACAAAGGCATGACACCTGGCAGCACCTTGATCTGAACTTCTAGGCTCCATAGCTATAAGCAAAAGCATGTGTGCTATTTTAAGCCAATGAATGTGGAGTCATTTGTTACAGCAGATAGAGAAAACTAATACAACCATCACAGGAATGAGGAAAGCATTATCATTTCCATGTTACTGATGGTAAAAAAGAAGTGCAAAAGAGCTAAGTAGCTTGTCCCGATTCAGCCTGTGCCCAGATGTGTCCTCTGACATACCTGCTGCCCCTATCAACAAGCACATGAATCTCAGTGCCCTCATAGTCAGACACAAGGGAAGAGTTAATGGCTCATCCTAGGTGTGGTTTCTTGGTGGCAGGGCCCCATAAAATCCAGGACATCAGCAACCCTCACTGATGAACCCCGGCAAAGACTTAGCACCTCCTGCAGCCTGCTACTTTAGGGCAGCCTGTTTTATTATTGCTACAATTACTGAGATGTGGAGCTTCACACTACTTTTCCCTTGCAGTAAATGGCCAAAAAGTAATGGTGTCAATTTTAATGAGGATCAAGCAAGTCTCCTAAAAGGGCTCCAATAAACAAAAGCATTTCTCTCGCACACAACAATGGCTTGCTGTTTAATTCCAGAACACAGGAATGTCACTTAAATTACACGGGTTTTACATTAAAGTGCTTATGGGGATGCCTTTCCAGGGAAGAATTTCAACAAAAAGATCTCACCCATTCTGATGCTTCCTAATATCTGAACCACAAGTCTATGTAGCATAGCAACAAAAATAAAACCTCAGAGAATGTGAGCAAGAACAGGACCTCATTTTCACTGAGAAAGAGGTTCTGATTCTCTGTGAAACAGAGATGTAGCTTAGAGGCTGTTATCACCCAGCAATATATTAAATTTAGGCCTGAGGGCCACGAGAAATTCACTGTTTAAGCCTGTATCTTTTCTGTTTCCACTTGCCGAGATGTTCAGAATGACTGCCAGCCCTGTAATTCCACGAGACTCTTTAGCTGACTCAATTCTTATTTTATTAGTGCTTCTCAAAGCAATTACTAGAGTTTTGAGCAAAGATGAGAGTATTTCACACCTCCATCTTTACTGAAAATGTCTTATACTCCAGTGACTTTTGGCTTCTATTTATAAAGACGGTTCAAGGCTTGGAAAATTATTGGAGTCAAGCTTTAATGGATATTCCCAACCAGCATTGTGTCATTATTGGCCCGCGTTTGGCTGGGCGATCTCCCAAGTTTGTGACATAATCAGGCCTCTCTCTGCATTACCCCATACACTCCACGCTCCCTCTACATCACACTACTGAATCATACCCTCTTTTCAACAAGACTGATTGCCAGGGGATTAACATTAGACAGCACAGTTCCATTATTCAGCAGCCCAATTCAAATCCCTACCCTAAACTCTAAGACAGATTTCAGGGCTTCATGGGGATGAGCTGCCAGAAAGCTCAGAGAGGAGGTGGGGCAAGGGACTTTTGGATGTTTTACATAACAGCTCCACATTAAACCTGCTGTAAGCAAGAGCCCAGGTTTGGAATGGCAGGGACAGGACTCTACATTTCCTGGAATGGTCCCAGCAGTCTCAATGAATAATTTCCAAGCCTATGCAAAGCCATAATCCCAAAAGATTGCTTTAGCACAATTATTTTTTCCCACAATAAATTACTTAATTTCAAAATTAGATATTTAGAACTTCTAGCCCAAAGCTGAACTGTCTTTCCTTATATGGAAACATGTCACATCAAATGCCGTACACACAAAGCCCCAAGTAAATTGTCAAATTCCAAGTCGTGTGCTCTTTGAGGAGTGGACTTCTAGTGCCTCGATGCCAAAAGAGACGTTACCTATTTTGTTCTCGTATTTAAGGGTGTTACTGCTCTCTGTGTTTGTTTTGAAAATACTTAAACACAGTAATCCTAAGAAACATACCACAAATATCTCTCAGAGAAAAAGAGGTCTCAAAACTCATTCTTTTATGAATACCAAGGCCTATCAAATTTCATATCAAGACTTATGTATAACTCAAATGTTCAAATAAATATTCTTTCCACTGAACACTTGTATACAAATAGGAGTAAAGACCATAGCATGCTTTCTAAGGCCGTGTGTCTTGTGAATGGAGCTTCATGTAACTTGACACAAAATCAAAATGGTTTTGTGTTTTGTTTTCAGTTAAACTAAACCTATATAATTTGGTTAATCCAGTTTTTGGCAAGGTTTTTAGTGGCTCTTTGGGCAATCCAAATATCTATGGAATCTCTTTCTTCAAAGAAGTTATATTTTATGAAAGGGGAAAGAAAAACCCATAAGTGAGATAATGCTGGGGCAGATGCGTGGGAAATGATGGAGGAGAGACTTGTTTATCGAGCACAGTGGGTGGGCATGTGTTTCTGGCATTACCTACAGTCACATTAAAGCAAAATAAATTCTCCTAAGCTACGTGTTAAATCTAAGTCGGTAACCTACATGTAGGGAAGAACACATTAATCAGGTGACCCAAAGAAACGGTCCAAAAACAGGCAGCACATTGAGGTTATGACAGGTGACAAGTTAGAGAACGAACAGCTCCAACACAGAAGAGCTCTTAACCCACCACCCCTGCATAACGAGACGTACATTAGGAGCAGATCCACATACTGGCAATTTTCCAACACAGAAACACCTTTTCTTCATCAGTTACAGTAAAAACCCATCCCAACAGGCAAAACTTGGGAAGAAATTTGGGTTTCCAAGACAACAACCTATGTGATCTTTAAGACGTCTAACTAAAATGGCTTACTTCTATGCACTCTGACAAAAACGTACTTATAAACTCATATGTGTGGTTCCTTTTCACAGAGAAAATACCTTCCAGGAATAGACACTGAACTGGCAGTGTCTAACAAATTTCTTCCTATGGAACTGAAGGGCCCCTTGATGTTGACCGCTTCATAGCCAGCTATCAGCTCAGTCATTCTAATACCTTTTTCTTTACTCTTCAGCCTGTATGATACAGTTGCCTTTCTTTAGGTAATTTTACCTCTCTTCTAAAAAATAAAGTCCTGCTACATTCTATCTGACCCCTTTACCCTGCACACATTTTTCAGAGTAATCTCAGCTTCCAGACCTCTTACACATGTCCCTCTTACAAAAAATGATGCCTGAGATCCAAGAGGATCTTGCAAAACCCAGAAAGCCTGGCTAATCAGGACACAGAGCCATGTCAGTGACAGGAGAATCCTTCTCAAATGACAGCTTGCATGTAGAAAGAATGAAAACAAACCAATTCTCCTTAAACACTTGGGACAAACAAGATGCACTTTCATGGTTTCAAATAACTGAAGCTAGAACAGACAAGTGCACAGCTGCCACACGCGGGGAAGCAAACTCACCAACGACATCGAGGTGATACGTGTGATTGATGGAGCCGTATTCATTCTCTACCACGCAGGTATAATTGCCTTTGTCAGATGGGACCACACTTTCCATAATAAGGCTCCAGTGCTGGTTTCGTACCTGAAAAGATAAAAGTAAAGGTAGTTATTTAATCACCTTAGCACAGAATGCCAGATCATTTGCTTTCTTAATTTCAAATGTACGTGGTTAGGACTGGGAGATAGCTCAGTGGTGGAAAACATGCTTAATATGTGCACTGCCCTGAGTTTAATCTCTGGCACCAAAAGGGAAAAAAAAGGAGGAAAAGAAGGAGAAGAAGCTGGGCAAGGTAGGGAAGGTAGAAAAGAATTGCCTGCACTCTAAATTGTCCTCATAATTAATGTGAAAACCCTGATCATCATAGGAAGAACTATGAGGCAGAGACTGACACATTGAGATGTGCAGTGGTATTCAGGGATATTACAGTGGGTGTGCCACTGTCATGGGTTTGAGGAATGAATCCTCCAGGACAACCCAAGTGATAGGAAATCCACACAGTATCAATGCTCCTGAGCAGTGAGCTACCAGGTCACTCATCCACTGGGACTCCTCAGCCCCCATATCACCCAGGAACCACATAGAGTCACACTAGTAAGTACTAACTGCGTCAGGCATTGCCTTGAATGCTCCCTCCTGCCTTAGATAATGTAATTCTCCCACAGAGCGCATGAGGCAAGCACTTTTATTGTTCCTGGAGTTTTCTTGTTTGAAAGCCCTTCATTTCTTTCTTCACGGCTCGCATATGCTCTCTGGAAGTCTCAAGACATCTCAAGTGGAAACACAGATCTGGCCATCCCATCCCTGGTGGTGGCTGACTAGATCTTACATGTTCCTGATATACTCAGAATTCCAAATATGGGAGCAATGAATCCATACAAAATTTAAGTTATAGATCCATCTGTGTGCAGTGCTTGAGACTTTGCAAAGAGAAGAAGCACATGTAAAATAACCTCGTGTGACTCCGACCCACAGTTCTGTCAATATGCAAACAGACTGGACTCTAATGCTCTCACCTTGCTTTTAAAATGTTTCAGGAGACTCGTGCTTTTTAACAAGTATATGTTTTTATTACCAGGACAAGATGCAAATTTCAGCATCATTCTAGAATTCAGAGATTTAATACTTCTTTCCAAAATCATTCTTAGATTTCGAAAAAGGCATTCCAGGGCCTGGGGATTTAGCTCAGCAGCACAGCACCTGCCTGGCAAGTGCAAGGTCGTGAGTTCAATTCCTGGTACCGGAAACCACCACCCCCGCAAAAAAAAAGAAAAGAAAAAGGCATTCCAGGGAATGCAAAGAAAAAGTAATAAAAAGCCCAGGCCTAGTAATCACCAACTATCATTTCAGGAACCTCACCTGACCTTCTGAATGATGCCCTGAGTACTTCAAGTGTTTGCAGCCTTAATCACACAAAACCCGATAATACAAGCGGAACCTTCATAAGCACATGAGTGATCCAAAGAACTAAACTAGAGAATGAAGCAAATCACCTCACAAGTGCTCCATTACAAAAACAGGAGGGCAGGGTCAGCAGGCCCAGTGATCAGCCTGCCAGAGGAGAGAGACTGTATGAGCTCACTCCAGCACCATGGCTTTCAAGTCAGTTACTCTATTCTATGCAATCCATGACTACAGAGTACAGTTATAGCTGTTGAAGTCAAAAACAAGATCACCACTCATCGCTGATCATGAAGGATTGCTGAGTGAAGGCCAGACCCTTCTAACAGAGCACAAGCAGTAAGGTAAACACGAGTTCTAGAGCCTGGCATGGTAGCACACACCTGTAATCCCACTCTCTCAGAGGTTGATGCAGGGAGATGGCCAGTTGGAGCCCAGCCTGAGCAGCTTAGTGAGGCCCTGTCTCAAAATAAAAAATAACAAGAGAGTGTACAGTACAAAGGCCCTAGGTTCAAAAAGAACGACCTGTAGGCAGTCGCCCTACTCAGCTGCCACCTGACCTCTAAACAATCATGGAGGTTGTCTCAGAGTTCAACATTATGGAGGTGGTGACAGGAAAACTGATTCTCACTGTTATGAGATACGTATCTAGCAGTAAAATGGATCTGAGGCCATCTGCTCTACAACAGAGAAGGTCTGTTCTCACAGAAGATTCGCCTTGTGCTTTGACTGGGTCACAACCTGGAGGAGAACCAACACATGGGCCAGGTATTCCCTTAGGAGAGAAGCCTCCCATGCATGAGTACTCTGAAGGAGGTATGGATACCAAATTTTCCAGTAAGTACTAAGAGAACTTTCTATACACTGGCCTCTGGGTGCTACTTGGAGCTGCAATGCACAGAGCATGGGAGAGGCAGACCCTACCTCCTTGACTTAACTGGAGGCAGATAGGACCACAAGGAGGTACCCACAAGGTGAGTATCTTACCCTAAACTGTCAGGGATGTAGAAGTGGCCTTCTCATCATCTCTGAGGGACCTGTCACATGAAGGGTAACTTTGGGATGCTGCCACAGGTCCCAACGTCACCAAGCCATGTAATCCAGCATTTAGCCCTGCTGTAAATATTCAGTTCTTTGAGTCCCCGCTCAAATGTCAAGCGCCTAAGCCCTTAATCACAGCAGTGCCTCTCTCTGGACCCCATTCAAACTGTCAATGTCTTTCTTGCGCCTGGATCCAGATTTGGCACACAGCGTATTCCAAATGGAACTGAACCTGAACCACATGGGGAGGGAACATCATCTGCCTCAGCCCAAGACATTAAATACTGGCATATGCAGCCCAGCCTGGCAGCTGCCGTTTCTGTCCCAAAGGAATATGGCCAGCTCCAGTCTCTTGCTGGAGGTATGGCATTCTATACAAGGTTCCTCTTCAAGGGAACATGCTCCCTGAATACTGGAAGGATGCACTACAAATATTAATGAGTTAACACTGACTGATAAAATGCTTTCTGATGAGGAGTATATTTACTGAAGAGGATGTTTTCACCCTTCTAGAACCTTGGTACTCAATCAATACTGCCCCATGCGATGCTGTTAATATTTATTTTCTTACACCACTGTGCCAGTATTTGACTTCTTGACATACCACCCATCCCAAACTATGAGCTGTGGCATTTTCCAAATGGACATCCTTAGAAGCTGCCAACAGTAGGACTTCTGACACTTTTGTAATTGCCTACTGGTAATCAGTGGCTACTTAATAGCAAGCTAAGTGAATGGAACAATAACTCTATAAAAATGGGAAACAAAGGTGTAGTTTCAGGGTTTACTAAATCACTATGTTTCTGTATCAACCTTCAGTGTAAACATAAGAGACTACTCTTCCAACAAAAATGTAAGACACGTCCTCCAATGTGTCATTGTTGGTTTGTTTAACTTCCCAGATTTTCAGTGCTACAATTATTTTGGCCAGTTAAAAGGCTTGTACACCACCTTTGCTTTCAAAGAACAGGAACTGTAAATAACCAATAAACATATGAAAAGATGCTTAACCTCATTAACAATCAGGGAGATGCAAATGAAAGCAAGAATAATGAGACGCTGCTATTCACCAGCTGATTAACAAAAATAAGGAAGATCCTGTCATTCAGTGCTTGGTGAAAATGGAGGTAAATATGGACTTAAATTGAAAATAGGAACAGAAATGGAGAAAAAAAATTTTGGTAAAGTAATTTGGTGGCACCATTCAAGTTAGTAACACATATATTTTGGCCAAGTTAATACCACTGCTAGGAAATCTGGCCTGCAGAAAATAACAATTCCTTCACAGCACATGAGCAAAACTTCAAGTACTCTTCATCACGAGATAATGGAATCCACCAAGGAGACTTAGCAGGGGATGTAGCTCAATGGCAGAGCACGCTGCCCAGAATGTGCAAGGCCCTAGGTTCAATACACGCACACAAAAGTCATTAATAATGTACAGTTCATCCTATATAACTTAATGGAGGGTTCATTATAACTAAACCATATATAGTCACTAGAATAAGGTATTCTTATGTTCAGAACTGGTAAGATATGATTATATAGTATTTGATAGAAGAAAAAAGTTAGAAGACAAGAAAGTACACTCATGATTCCAATTTATAAAATGATACAAACACACACAGCACACCCCTGATGCTACAAGCATGGCAATATGAACAAGCCTAAATTCAAAACGAAAATATGCCACAGTATCAGCACCATATTTTACATAATTAAATGGAAGGATTATGAATATTGTTTACTCTTTTTTTGCACTTTCCAAACTTAAACAGAAATTTCATATGCAACAAAAAGTAACACAAAACAATGCCACAGCCACCCATAGGGTATTAGATCCTAGGCTACAGAACCCTTGCATTTGTAACTCTCTAGCTAACCAAACACAAAAGGGAAGAGATAGCCTGCACCAACCAACACATATACAATTCTGTTTCCTTTCCTGCCGTGGTCAAATCTTTGTGAAATTCATCATTACATTCCATCTCCCAAGTAACAGAATTAGAGTACATGGGGCTTCAAAACTATGTTGCCTAAAATCTTTTTAAAATAACATTTCAATATTGAAACAAAGCAGACTGAAGCTAGGGGCCTGAATTCTCTTGTACAAAAAGTAGATTCTACAAACATTCCAAACCCGGTCAATGCAAAGACAAAAGGTGGCCCAGACAGGTTTTTTCACAATTCTTCTGTTACCCAAATCTCTCAACATACCTGTTAAATCCCCAGCTACCTTCGGGTGACAACTGGGAATGTAGATTTCATTTCTGTGCCACCAAAAACACACAGGTGAAAAGTCAAAGGCCAAAGACCCAAGCTGTCGCCTGGATGTTTGATTTCCACATTGCAAAAAATATTCAGACATTTCCAAATACCCAGGTGTTCGATAATAAGTGGAACAAACACCCAGAGGCCATACTCTGTGCCAGGTCCAACACTGTGCCTATGTGATGGTGACATGCTGCCCATGACTTCTTTCACCAGTACCAGGGCCCAATTCACACAGGTAGACAGCAACTCCTTGTAACGCTTTGCCTTCGGGAAGGCAGCCCACGAACTAAGGTTCAACACAGGCCAGTTCTTAAAGTGCATAAAATTTTTCTAACTCATTCCCAAACTCCACTTCCAGCAGGAGCCTG